TGAGTTTTCTGATGTGTTCTTGGATATGATTTGCCAGTATTTTATTGAGTATTTTTGCATCATGAGGATATTGGTCTGAATTTCTGTTTCTTAGTTGTGTCTTTGTGTGGCTTGGGTATCAAGGTTCTCAAAACCTCTTAGAAAGAGTTTGGCAAAGACCCTTCTGCTTCTATTTCATGGAATACTTTGAGAAGAATTGCTTTAAGCTGTTCTCTGAATTTCTGATATAATTTTGCACTGAGACCATCTGGCCTCGGGCTTTTTTTGGTTGGAGACTTTTGATGGCTGCTTTTATTTCCTTAGGGATTATAGGTCTATTTAAATTGCTTATCTGTTTTGATTCAATTTTGTCAAGTGATATCTATCCAGAAAAATTTCCATTCCCTTTAGGTTTTCAAATTTTGTGGAGTACAGGTTTTCAAAGTATGACCTGATGATTCTCTGGTTTTCCTCAGTGTCCATTGTTATGTCCCCCTTTTCATTTCTGAGTTATGTCCCCCTATTCATTTCAGATTTTATTAATTTGCATGTTCACACTCTGCTGTTTGGTAAGTTTGGGTATAGGTTTGTCTATCTTGTTGATTTTCTCAAAGTACCAACTCTTCATTACATTGATTCTTTGTATTGTTTTCCTAGTTTCTGCTTTATTGATTTCAGCCCTCAATTTGATTATTTCCTGGCATCTTCTCCTCCTGGGTGAGTTTGCTTCTTCGTGTTCTAGAGATTTCAGTTGTGCTGTTAATTCTCTATTGTAACTATTCTCCAGTTTCTTCATGTGGGCACTTAGTGTTATCAACTTCCCTCATAGCACTGCTTTCAAAATGTCCCATAAGTTTGGGTATGTTGTGTCTTCATTCTCATTGAATTCTAGGAAGTCTTTAATTTCTTTTTTTATTTCTTCTTTGACCCAGGAATGGTGTAATTGTGCATTATTCAATTTCCATGAGTTTGTAGGGTGTCTGCAATTTATGTTGTTGAATTCTAATTTTAATGCATGGTGGTCTGATAAGGTGCATGGAGTTCTTCCAATTTTTTTGTACCTGTTGAGGTTTGCTGTGTTGCCAAGTATGTGGTCGATTTTTGAGAAGGTTCCATGTGGCACTAATCAGAAGGTATATTCTTTTTTATTTGGATGGAATGTTCTGTAGATGTCTGTTAATCCCAATTGGGTCATAACTTCTATTAGTTCCTTTGCTTCTTTGTTAAGTGTCTGTTTGGTATTCCTATCTAGTGGTGAGAGTTGGTTGTTGAAGTCTCCCACTATAAGTGTGTGGGGCTTTATATGTGATTTGAATTCTAGTAATGTTTCTTTTATGAACGTGGATGCCTTTGTATTTGAGGCATAGATGTTCAGAACTGAAACTTCATCTTGGTGGATTTCTCCCTTGATGAGTATGAAATGCCCTCCTTCATGTCTTTTGATTGATTTTATTTTAAAGTCTAATTTGTTAGATATTAGGATTACTACCCCTGCTTGTTTCATGGGTGCATTTGATTGGAAAATCTTTTCCCAATCCTTAACTCTGAGGTAATGTCTGTCTTTGAGCCTGAGGTATGTTTCTTTGAATCCATGCTGTTAGCCTGTGTCTGTCTTTTTACGGGCGAGTTAAGACCATTAATATTGAGGGATATTAATGACCATTGATTGCTCATTCTTGTTTTGGAATGGTTGATGGTGGTGGAATTATATGTTGATTTCCACCTCTCTTTTCTTTTTGCTGTTGGTAAGGTGGGGTTATCTATTGCCTATGTTTTTCTGGTTGTAGTTACACCCTTGGGTTTGGGTGGATACGTATTATTATGGTTTTGTCATAGAATGTCTTGTTATCTCCATCTATAGTAATTGAAAGCTTTGTTGGCCAGATATGTCTTCCCATTGAATATATTTGCAACAAGAAGGGTGGGTTTGTGTGGAGTGGGAGAGAAGACTCCTAGGTTCCTGACCTATTCACCAGAGGTAAGGGGAAATGAGGGAAATGATTCTTCCTGGCATACAGAGACACAGGTTCCTGGGCAGTGTCCAGTCTTAGCTAAGTTCATACTGTGTTAGGTCCCAACTGCCAAACTCCCACCTAATGGTAGTGCTACTAAATGATAGCCTGGGCTGTGTTCTGCCTGCATGTATATCTGTATACCATGCAGATTCAGTGCCTGTGGATGCCAGAAGAGGGCATTAGATCCTCTGGAACTGGAGTCACAAGCCAGTTGTGAACTGCCATGTGGGTGCTGGTAATGAAACAGATCTGAAAAAGCAGCCAGGGCTCTTTAATCACTGAACCATCTGTCCAGCCCATTAATTTGATTTTTAAAAGTGTGTGTGTGTGTGTACACATTTGTGCAAGTGCCTATGGAGTTCAGAAGAGATTGTTGAAACTTGTGGCACTGGAGTGAGAGGTAGTTGTGCGCCGCCTGATAATGATTGCTAGGAACTGGAATCTGTTCTTCCTGAAGAGCAGCATCTTAACCACTAGGTCATTAACCCAGCTCCAGATACTAATTTTCTATATTAGAACACAGACCAGTTCACTAATATTATGACTTGTCTCCATCTCAAGAGTGATCAGGGATTTTTGTTTTGAAGCTTGGGAATCTCCTGAGACATAACAGGAGCTCTGTTTTATCTAATCCCACTGGCCAGGTGTACAACTCAAGTTGATGGCCAGATATGTCTTCCCATTGAATATATTTGCAACAAGAAGGGTGGGTTTGTGTGGAGTGGGAGAGAGGACTCCTAGGCTGACCTAAATGATGGTAGATGGTGAAGGCAATCAAAATAATAGAAAATAAAGAGGTACTGATTTTGAGGGAGATTGCTGATAAGTTTAATGTATATACTGTGTTTTAGGTTCCCAGAAGAATATGTAAATGCTAACATAGTAAGGAATTAGCTGAAAGAATGTGAAAATTGGGAAACAGTTAAATGTTCTTAAAATCACAGGACTAAATGAAATTGCCATTGATATAGTACAGTTTTAGAAGTCGGTTAAAGGTTAGAGAGTTGGCTCAGAGGTTAAAGGCACTTGCCCCCACACATGGCACCCAAGATTGATCCCCAGGTCCCGCAGCAGAGAGCCAGTTCTCACACGTCATTTTCTGACCTTCACATGTGTATTGTGGCACATATGAGTGCACATACACAAAATATATATGTAAAAATCAATTGAGAAGACTCAGGTTTAAATAAAGGAAGGAGGAGAAGCTCATGAAAAGACAAAGACTCTTTTAAATAAAAAAATGCTTTAATCAGATTTGTGAGATTTTCTGTACCATATAGGAAGATATAGAACATAGATTATTGGAGGTTTAGTGTCTGTACTGGCATCCTCCTTTGCTCTTGTTCCTGAAAGTCCTTTTTAATGACAGTTTTTAACTAGGAATCCTCTTAGGAATAGCTTGCTATTCTTTCCATCCTTTTTTTTCCCCAGGAAGTTAGGGACTGACTGACTGGCATGAGGAAACTGGTTTGAAGCAAGCTCAAATTTATACTTTTTCTATTTGATGCCCAAAGTATATGGCGTGGCAAAGTTCTCACTCTGAGAATAGATCTGTACTTCCTTAGTTCAGTGTTTGTTACAGTGAAACCAGATTATCAATTAGTAGGAAGTATCCATACCTACTAATGATTCCTCTGTCTATGTCAGAGAGGTTCTTTTTATTTTTGTCATTTTTCATATCCACTAAACTCAGTATGTTCAACACTCTTCTATGCAACTTCTTCATCAACCTGTTCCCCTTTGCAGTCAATGCTGCTCTTTTCAAGTTGCCTAAGTAGAATCTTGAGAATCTTCCTTGGTTCCAGTTTCTTTCTTATCATAAGCCATTTACTCTGGCTCCTGATACCCGAGATAAAAATCCACTAACTTCTCTCCTAACTACTTCCATACTTCAAGCAGCTTTGATCTTCTACCCAGATTTCCAAGATGTAACTGGTCTTATAACACCCAGTCTTTTGTTCTAGGAGTTTTCATTTCTCTCTCCTGTTTAAAATTCTTTAGCAAGTGGCAAGAGAGATGACTCAGTGGTTAAGAGTGTATACTGCTTTGCGGAAGGCCTAAGCTCTAGTACAGTGTCCAGGTTGGCTGGCTGACAGTCATCTGTAAATTCAGCTCCAGGCCTTTTGCTTAAGTGGGCATCTATACTCATCCACGCATTGACACACACACATATGCACGCATGTGCGCGCGCACACGCATGCATACACACACACACACACACACATTAAAATTGGTTTTTCAACAGTTGTTCTTGTTAAGCTCAGATTCTGAGACATACATGTTTTAGAGGTATTCACAGTCTACCTCTCATCTTTATTTCATAGTCTCTGCTTTAGCTATGCCACTCTTTTAATTCCTTGTGCTTTTATTACCAAACTTGAGGTCACACTCTGTATCCCAAGAAGCCAAGTTTGGCCACTGATTCTCTGATTATACTACTATAGTCATCATCACTTTCAAATTTATGTATGGGTCAGATTTTTTGACATTGACTTTTTCATGTCTGACCAGTAACTTCTGTTCATTCTTTATAATGTAGCATGAATGTTCTTAGGGAATTTCCCACAGTGCATTAATTAACTTAGTTGTTGTACATTTCTCTAGTATCTTTTTTTCATATGACAGCATTTAACATGTTAAAATTCTAGATGCTAAGCTCTGTGAGGTAAGAAATGTTGTTCCCATGCTTGATGCAAACTATTAAAAAACAGCACCGACTTGCCTGGGATCTTCTGTTTCCTGTCACACCAGTAATGTTCATGTATAGGCTGAACAGCTTCAGAATTGGAGTGGAGAGCCTGTAAGTCCATTTCAGTCAGGAGACTGCTTTTCCTAATTGTAAAGGTACAACTAGCTGCTTTAAAAGGTTTTGTAGTTAAATATAATAAGCAAGTAAACCCTAACTTTCAAACTATTATTCAGTGACTAATGGCATAAAGAGAAGCCAAGAAATATTTCACATATAATGATTGGAATTTTCAACACTAATGTTTTACATTTTTATAGGTGAAATGAATCAAAAATACAAGGAACTTAAAAAACGGGAGGAAAATATGGATGGTAAGTGATGAACTTATATAATTCTTAGGTGTTATTCATTTATATTAGGCACTGAAGACATTTGTCACATTATCCCACTTAGAAAAAGTGAAATTTTAAAAAAATTTGGTTCTCAGTGGATGGGTTCTATAACCTGGAATTTTTCTCTTTTTTCTTCCATTTCAAACTTTGTCAAATTATTATCTGTTATAGTGTGATTTAATATGCAGATTGGATTGCTATACATAAAATATGGTTCTTAAAAATTAAAAACATACACTATGCCATTGAGCTACCAAAAAAATTAGTAGAAAAATTATAATGGAACTACATTAGAGAATGCATGCAATGCTTATGTAATTGTCTTACTAATAGTAAAATTTTAGCTACTTATTTTTTTCTCCAAACCCTTTAATACAGCTGAGGCACAAGAAATAAACACTTCATTTTTTTTTGGTCAGATTTGTTGTTAGCATCATACACCAAATTCCCCCCACCACGTTTTCAGCATTAGTAGTTTAGTTTGATACTCTGGTCCACAGGTTGGTTCAAGGACATGAAAGCAAGTGGCCAATGGTTGGTATAAATACAAAACTTGTTGGAGATAAAGGAACACAATACCTGGACTTTGCCTAAGTATGCTCATTACGCTATTAAGGGCATTTACACAACCTTTCCAGGCAGCTCTACTTAAAATGTTTTCACTTAGGAAAAACAGTGACATCCAACAGTACACCTTTGCCCAAGGCAGCATGCCAACATGCCGACTGTTGCTGGCAACACTTAAGCTTTTTTTATACTACTTGAGTGTTAGTCTTGCCTTCTGACATCAACTGACCAACAAAGGCTTCCTGGTTCCATCTGTTTAACTTGAGGTGAGAAGAAACAGTGTTCAGCATTTGTTTTTGTGGAGGAAAGTAGACTTCCACAAACATAGTGTTCAAAAGTGACAATGCCAAAGCCCCACATTTGTCACTTGTCACTTAAGTCTCGGCTTAATCGGCCTCGAAGTAAAGACAGTATCTCCCTCTCCACTGCCAGGAGCCAGGCCACCCAGTGCACACAGCAGAACACTTCTCCAAGTAGTGCCCCACCACTCACTTTGCTGTCTCCACTCTCTCTCTGGTCCTTAGCCATATCCGGGCTGATGCAGGACTCTTGGCAGTGCAGTCAGTCAGTCTGATTAATCACCATTATGATGCTTGGGACTGGAGGGCCTGCCGGCAAAACTCAGCCAGCCTTTTAACTTTATTTGTAGCATCACACCCCAAACACGCATACCTAACAAGAAAGCACTGTTTAAGGGTTCAGGATCAAAGGCCTATAGAAGGTCTCAAAGTGTGCCAGAGCAAGCTTCCTATGTGAGGAAGCTGTTCAAAGCTGCTATCCACACACCAGCCAGAGGCAGGTAAAGCCTGATTCTTCCTACTATATTATCAGGAAAAGACAAGCAAAGCCAAAACAAGTCTAGGGCATGGAGGCAAATGAGCTGCCCTATGAAAATGCTGCTCGGTGAATAGATGCCAGCGCAGACCACAAGGTCTTCACAGTTTAGAAACAGTCCATGTCACCAGGTGATTTGTCGTTATCTGAGAGTCCCACCTGCTTCAGCCAGTCTCCAGTCAAGATGACACTCCACTGTCATTGTACAAGATAAATTAATCAAACCACAGGAGGACTGAAGAGATACACTGTTAAAAGCAAAAAGGAATCAATACTTTCACAAGTAGACTATCACAACTGTCTTAATGACAAGTTTCTGGTTAATTTACACAACAGTAACAGAATCACTCCACACTGTAACAACTGACAAAGAAGTTATTCCGCTTTGAGGTTTAACTGAGAAATAGCAAGTCAGGCAAACATGCAAACTCAGAATATAAACAGGTGGAAGGCCTGGTTGTTCTAAAGTGATCACTGGTCATCAGCTGGATATAGACCTGAAGACACTCAACAGAACAGACTGAATTCCACACCAGAGATGAGCAGACTGGTCCTCTCAGTCTTTAAAGAGCAGAGTGAGCAGGCAAACCTAGGTAACATTCCTGATGCTGTCTGCAGCCAGGAGCTTGAAATACTGGGAGTTAGTTAGTGCCCAGGACATTAAGTCACTGATGTAGACTGAAGCTTTTAAGGAAAAACAGGAGAGAATGGGATTTTTAAGAGTACAGTGGCCGGCACACTTCACATGTTCAAGAGTAAAGAGAAAGAAACCGTCTCTGCAAGATTTGAATGCTCAGTTTTCACAAACAAGTTTCTATCCAGTTTTATGATTTACAGTGAAATGTGTTAGTGTTGAAAATGGGCATTATTCAACTATCTTCATACTCTCTTCCAATATTTTAAATTTATCACTGAGAGTTTTTACCTAAGTAATAACTTCTGTATTTACATCTGAATTGCATGTCTGGTGGTGGCGCATGCCTTTAATCCCAGCACTCGGGAGGCAGAGGCAGGCGGATCGCTGTGAGTTCGAGGCCGGGCTGAACCAACAGCTTCCAAAACAGTACAGAGAAAGCCTGTCTCGTAAAAACCAAAAAATAAAATAAAATATAAATAAATAAATGAAATAACATGATATTTTGGTTAACTCCGTGTATTTATAAAATGAAAAGTTCTATCAAAATACTTTTCACTGGAAAAAATAAATAGAACAGACAATGGATCTACTCAAAGTACACATTCACTTTGGTAGACTTCAGTGTAGGACAGTTCATGACAAGCATATTTGCCCTTATTCCCCCAGAGACGATCAGCTTCCAAGCTAGTGGTTAAATCATTTTTAACTGAGATTTTATTGTGTTGATATCTGGTTCATTCCACATCATCTTCAGCCAAGCTTTGAGCACTTGAAATTCTCTGACTAATGGTTGGAATCTTGGTCAGAAGCATCTGGAACACTGGCGGTAGAAGAGTCTGCTGCAACACTTGCAACAGCTGCTGAGGCTATCCACACACAGCAATTGCATTTGTCAGGTGGTCTATACCCTTCTCATATTCACCTTGTGCTAATAACTCTTCACCAAGCTGTATCTCTTCAAAGAAGAATTTTTGAACAACTTCAGCATCTTTTAAGTCAGGCAACTTGGAAAGCCTAGCTCTTTCCTTAGCAAGTTTCTGTTTCTTTCTTTGTTCTCGAAGCCTGTTCTTGAAATTGGGGTCACTCCGCCTTTTGTGGTCAAAATAGATGCAGTACCCGATGAAGAGGGCACCGCACATGCCCGCGGCGATGGCACTGTTCTGGCCCACCATGTTCGCTCGGCTGGGGCATGTGCCGGGCCTCGAAGGCTGGCCAAGCAGTGGTTCGCTCTGACAGATCGGAGCACGCTGGCCGTTCGCAGGCCCAGTCCAGAAGCTAACTACTTATTTTTAATTTTGGAAGTTTCATAGGAATAAGCGAAGAAACACAAATTAGAGCAAAAATATGTATGAGTTATAGATTTGATAAATGGGCAATTTCTTAGAATACTTAATAATCTGGATAAATGATAAAATTTGTTTTGTGATAAGCCAGTATTTGATTAATTTAATGAAAAATTATTTCAGATGAAATAGATATTTAGTAATATTAATTTGAGAAATAAAGTCAGTGGCCAACTGTAAATGTTAATTATTATAGCTGTATCAAGGAAATCATGTATAAAGATGAAGGTTTTCTGAGTTTTGAAGTATCAGCTATTTCTTTTGAGACTGTATAACTTTCTGGCTTACTTATATCAAAGTCATAACAGGCTTTAAATATTTGAAAGTGTATAGAGAAGGTTAATAATTTAAAATTTCAACTTACTTGGAATTTCTGGAAAATAGTCTGAAGTTCTGAAACTGTGAGTTTATTTAGTGCTATCTCTGTCAGCAGTAGTCTGTATTACCATGTTTCCAATTGGCAGCTTTCATAGAGACTTTTGAGGAAACAAAGAATCAGGAACTGGAACGGAAGGCACAGATAGAAGCCAGCATTGTCTCCCTGTTAGAGCATTGCAGTCGGGTAAGTGCTGCGTGCCTGTCTCAGGCTCCTAACTTCTCAAATAACAACACAGAGAGTGGAAGAGTCACTGTTGTTACCCACTTAAACTGTTTATCTCTGTAGTAAAATCTTAGCTAATTAGGGTAATGTGGGAAGGGATGGCATGTACATGAAGCTGTGATTAGAATAAATTTTAAGATTTCTTTCCATTGCTAATTTATCTGAATTTACTGAGAAAATTCCAAAACCTAGACATTATTTTAGAAAATGTTGATATGTTTTACACTATAGTTTGTGTTGTAAATATTTTCTTATACCCAATGAATACCAGAGTTCAGAAAGTGTTTATTGAGGATCTACTATGTGTCTTGCTAGAGAAAAATGTATGGCCCACCTTCACTATCCTTAGTGTATTAAATCTGCATTTAGTTCTTCAAACTCGGTAGCTCATTTTTCATTCAGTTTAATAAAGCAAGTGAAAAATTATAAACTTATGTGAAAACATGACTGAATCCCATGCATTCTATAAAACATCAAAATTGAATGTATGTTTAAAAATAATAGACAAAGCATCTCATCCTTTGTGGTTTTGGCAGTTTTATAGGAAAGCTAAATCTTCTGTGTATTTCTCTGCATATACAGAATATAAATCGTATGAAACAGATATCCTCCATCACCAACCAAGAGCTAAAGATGATGCAGGATGACCTCGGCTTTAAATCAACTGAAATGCAGAAGTCACAGACAACAGTCAGGAATTTGACCTCAGGTAAGAACAGTAGCTAAGAGTTAATAGTCTATTTTTTCTATAGCAAATTGGAACTTCAAAACTCATTTTCATTCTTTTTGAGTTCTTTTGAAAGTCCCATAAAGAGGGATCGAATTGCAATCTGAGAATTCTATGTGATATTACCCAGGAACTTACTAGTTGGACTTTGAGATGTTCTCGTTCATTTAACAGTGTTTACTGAGTTGCAAGCTCATGAAGGTTTTGATGTACCATTTTGTGTGGCTGGTGCTAGAGATCTGCTCTACTGCTGACCTACAGTCCCAGGCCTGGTCTGTAGGTCTCGTGACTTCACAGTGGTGCATAGGAATATCAGAACAGAACTCTGTTTCACGTTTTGACGTTGATCTTCCTGCAGGATAAGACGTGTAGTATATAGAGTGCAGTGCTCGGTACTAGCCGCAGCCACAGCTTCCGGTATTCAATGTGAGCAGGGGGTTAAGCAGTCAGTTCCTACAGTGCCGCTTAGATGAAAAGAGTTCTGAGGTCTTGACTAGAGTCTGGCCAGGGAGAGACTCTCTCATGATTCAAAGGGGTAAAAACTAAGTCAGATCTGTTTCCTCAAGGAACTCCCATCATGGTAGAAGGACAGTTGGAAGGAATGAAATAAGATTCTATAGAAATGGGTATAGAAATGTATCATGGTCACATATAAGGCCACTCTTTGATAATTAGAGGAGGGTCTGAGAGCCAGTAATGTTGAAATAATTCTAGCAGTGTTCATTAGCACAGCACTGACCAAGGAAAATGTCATGCAAACCACATGTTTAATTATAATTGTCATATTTTAAAAACTGAAATGACAGATGAATTTTAATTTTATTAATCAGTATACCCTAGAAATTGTTATTTAGCCTGTATTCTATAACATGGTGGACATTTTGGCTGTTAAACCTATTTCAAGTGACCAGAAAGCTTTATGTGTCAAGTGACATAGGTTGTGATCAGATATTAAGAGTAAAGTTATAAAAAGCTCATATGGAATCTTGGGTTCTGTACTGGCAGATTCTGAATGTTTATTATGGTGTGTGGTGACTGAATTAGCTGTTTTGGTCTTCTTAGGTTTATGCTGGCAGCTAATGAGTTTAGAGAAAATGAAGACTCAATGTTTGCTTATTTGTGTATTTAAGGGTCTAAGCTAGAGACATGGCTAAGTCAGTAAAGTACTTACAAGCAAGGGGGATCTGAGTTTGGATCCCTACTCCCCACCCTGACGCTGGACATGGAATTCATGTAATTCCAGTGCTAAGGTGGTGGAGACAAGTTATTCTCTGGTATCACTGACAAAGCAGCCAGTTGAGCTTCAAGTTCAGTGAGAAACCCTGTCTCAAAAATAAGGTGGAGAGTGATTGAGGAGGATAACTGTGGTCAACATCTGACCTCCACATTTATGTGCATATACATGCTTACTCAGTGCATGCCATGTGTGGGCTGCACACACACACACACACACACACACACACACACACACACACACACACACTCTAAGTATACTAGAATGGAAACGGAATAACTATACTTTGTGGGGATTCCCAAAACCTAAAGTGTTGTTGGCAATAAAACTTACTCTGATCTAAACTGACTATTCATGCTTTTTTTAAATTTATTTTTGTGCACTGGTGCTTTGTCTGTGTGAGGGTGTCAGATTTTGGAGTTACAGACAGTTGGGAGCTGCCATGTGGGTGCTGGGAATTGAACCCGGGTCCTCTGGAAGAGCAGTCAGAGCTCTTCACCACTGAGCCATCTCTCCAGCCCCCTATTCATGCTTTTTATTGTAGAAATAGTCATGTACTTAATATCTCAGTACTGTCTCAAATCTTGCTGTTGGAGTTACACAGTTAGTATATGTGTTATGTTATGGTTCTAACATCAAAGAAATCTATGTTTGAAAACATGGCTGATTGGGAGTTAGATAGGGAATTCTGTACCTACAGTGCATACTGAATGATGATAAGGTGCTAGTTAATTAAAAGTTATATTAAAAATAGGCAGTTTCTATTACTCTTTGTTTAAAGAATATTTTGTACCTAGATTTGTTTAGTTTGTTTACCACAGAATTACTAATTCTTGTGAATTATATGCCAAGCAACTAGAAGAGGTACATTCCAATGCTGGCTAACATCTACAATTACTTGCATTTTTTATCATGCTAAAAATACACAAAATTTAGTGTCTTAGCTGTTCACTGTATTTTTTTATTTATTTGAAAAATTTTAATTTATTTTTTACATTCCAATCCCAGTCCCCCCCCCCACCTTTCCTCTCGATCCCCCCACTCTCTCCCACCTCCCATGTGTTCCTTGGAGAGGGTAAGGCCTCCCTTAGGAAGTCTACTAAGTCTGTCTCACTTCATTTTTAGTTTGTAAACAAAGTAAATAGGTGTCACAAGGTGTGTTCATCCATGCATGTCACTGTACTTTGTTTTATGAGTCTCTAATGCCCTCTGTCTCACTGTTGTTGGTACCCTTCCTCCCCACAAATACCACTTCTGCTCTCATGACACGCATATTCCATTTTATCCATCTCCCTCGCCTACTCCTCCCTTCTCATGGTTCCCTTTATACTTTCCCCAGCCCCCAGACAAGGTTTCTCTGTGGCTTTGGAGGCTGTCCTGGAACTCACTCTGTAGACCAGGCTGGCCTCAAACTCACAGAGATCCGCCTGCCTCTGCCTCCCGAGTGCTGGGATTAAAGGTGAGCGCCACCAATGCCCGGCCCATCCCTTTATACTTTTAAGATCTATATATATACACAGATTTAAGTTTAGCATACCTGAAAGCAAACATGATATTTGTCTCTCTTTTTTTTTTTTTTTTTTTTGGTTTTTACGAGACAAGGTTTCTCTGTATTGTTTTGGAGGCTGTCGGTCCAGCCTGGCCTCGAACTCACAGAGATCTGCCTGCCTCTGCCTCCCGAGTGCTGGGATTAAAGGTGAGCACCACCACCGCCCGGCGATATTTGTCTCTTTTAATCTGCCTTGTTTTGTGTCACATAATTTCTAGTAGCACCAACTTCCCTGCAAATGTATGCTCTTATTCTTGATAGCTAATTAAAATTCCATTGTGTAGAAGATGCACCACATTTTCTTTATTTCTTCATCTGTTGATGGCACCAGGCCGGTCTTCTTCTTAGTTGTTATAGATGGCACAGCAGTAGTCATGGATGCGCAAGTACTTCTGTGACTGCTGACTCAGTCTTTCAGTATTATTTTAAAGTTTTTGAGGAACCTGCTCACTTATTTCTGTCAGTTTACATTACCTCCAGCAGAGTTTGTTGTTAGTTTCCTTGATGACCCTTCTTAACCAGTTTTACATATATAGTCTGGTAGTGTTTACTGTATGCACATGATTATACAGCAGAGCTCCAGAACTTTCATCTGTAAGACTGAAATTTTATCATCGAATGATTCCCTCTTCCCTCTGTGCTGACTCATGGCAATCACAGTACTTCTGTTTTTTTGAATTTGCCTCTTAAGAATGCCTCATATGAGTGCACTCCTAATGTGTGTTGTTGTGACTGGCTTGTTTTACTTCGCATAGTAGACTCAAGGTTCCTCCATGTTGTAGCATAGGACAGAATTTCCTTTTTAATGGCTGTTGAGTAATATTTCATTGCACACATATTCTGTGCTTTATCCACTCACCAGTATTTGGGTTGCTTCTCTCTTATTTTTAGCTTCTTGGGCTAATTTGAGTATTTTAAAATCTTTATTCTTTTTTCTAAACTAAGAAATTATGTTAACTCATCTATATAGTCAGTTATCTAAGGTTGATGTTAATTCAACAAGCTTTTTCCTCCTTTAAGTTATCTCGGAGCAACAGCCATTGAAACACATTTCTTAAGGGCAAATATAAATAAATACCAGGAAACAAAGCCAGTGATTTTAGGACTGTGTTTTTTTTACATAGCTTTATGCTTTGTGTTTACATTTCCTTTTAAAAACTAGTCACTGTGCTTTCTTCAGTGGTGCAGTTGAAGAAGAATGAGCACTGACTTTAATAGAGATGAAAAATACCGTCTGTCACTGCGGTAAAGCTTTTCTGTTTCTGGAAATTTTCTTTAGTGAAATTTGAATTCTGACTTTGTAATTTATTTCATCTACTATTTCTTCCTTCTTTTATCCCTTCTTTTCTTTATATTACTGCCCACACTTAAGAAATTTCCTTTATCTGAAAATCTCCGGAAGTTTATGATAATCTTAGCTGTTCTGAGATAATGTTAATAGTGCCCTTCTGTGAACTGCATCCCTTTCTATCATTGGGATTATTGCTAGAACCCATGTGACTTTTTTCCACTTTGTGTTTCTTAATGGAGTATTCTGACTTTCAAGGGCAACATTACTCCTTAGAGAAAGGGTGAAAGAAACTGTATCAGGCCAGTGAGATGATTGTGACTGATTAAAAGTAAAAACAAGCCCACAAAAGTTTCCTATGGGGATTAATAATACAAACAAGTTGAGAAACATACTCAAGGAATCATGCTTGCAGTAGTTTTTGTTTATATTTTTATAAAGGAAACTCTGGGGAGTAAACAAATGTGCTGATGGCAGAATATTTCAGAAACATTTCCTTAGGTCAAAGTGGCCCCTCCTGAGATTCTGCTACTCTGTACACACTGGTTGGTAAACTCTGCAACTTCATAGCATATCAGAAGGAACTAGACTGCTTCCTCTTCCTGTCTCTTCCCTTGGAGAAGCTTTCAGCTTTTCATAGGGACCTGATGCAAAAGGGAGATAAACTTTACTCTCTACCAACCAAATGTTTGCTCCTTTTCTCAGTTTGTATAGTTCTTAAATGTATTTCCTGAGTGTATATCCAAGTCACATTTGCACTTAAATTTATGCAACTGCTTGCTTCAGTTATCTAGCTCGCTTCCCATCTATATTATTGAGGTCCTGTAATAAGCCTGGGATACTTGCTCAGCACTTTCTTCTCATTATTACTGTTTGTACCTTAGTGAGGATATGAATCTAAGTTCAAACTTTTATGGCTTTGGATTTCTGAGATAGTCTTATGTTGCCTGGGCAAGCCTCCTGCCTCAGCCTCCGGATACCAGGATAACAAGCATGTGCCTAACTTGAAATTGAAACTATGATAACATTTAGATCTTGTTGTACATATATGTATTTCAATATGGCTAAGTAAAAACTCTGAAAAAGATAATTAAATATTCAAGGAATTGTAGCTTAATCATACCAATTTAAAAATATTTGGTTGTGTAACAACCCTTTTTAAAAGTTACTTTTGTGTGTGTGTTTGTATGTGTTTTTGCATGTGTTGTGGGCGCGCATGTGTGCATGTAGAGGCCCAAAGCTGATGGTAGATATCTTCCTCAATCACTTTCCACTTCATTGAGACAAGGTCTCTCAGTGAATCCCAAACGTGCCAATTGTAGCTGTAAGCGTTTTGTCGGGATGGGTCAGGACAGGAACAGGAACAGGAGTGGGTCAGGTATTCTGGCACTCGGGAGTCACAGAATACCCAGTGTTACACAGCTCAGGTAGAAAGGTATCCTGGAGCTCGGGAGCCAAGGACCACCACAGGTTGCAGTAAGCTTGGCAGCTTACAGCCTTGCCTCAGAGAAAGGCTTCTCCGGTGTATCAGCTCCGCTCAGGCAGGACAGGGTCTTCCAGCTGGGGATGTTCGCCTAGTGTAGCAGTTTTGCTCCGCAGGAGGTTTCTCGGGCGAAGTTGCTACAGTTCAGCTTTGCTCCTGGAGAGCCGAGAGCGGAGAGCAGGGAGCCGGGCGGGAGCAGAGTGTAACAACTCCTCTCTGCCAAGGAAGGTTTCCCGGGCAAGTGTTACAGCGCTGCTCGCTCTGCTCTGCTCTGCCCAGGGTCGCCTCTGCTTGCTCTGCTCTGCTCTGCCCAGGGTCGCCTCTGCTCTGTCGCCGCCGCAAAAGAAGATCTTCACCCGAAGCTCATCCAAAGGTGTTTATTGGAAGACAGCTGGACCAGCCAAGCTGAACATACACAGGGTTTATATAGGGGTTCCTGGGGTTGGGGAAGTTTTTCCAGGGTAGGGATTGGTCCGATTTCAGTGCTGAGCTCAGATTGGCTAGAGCTCTGCTCTGGGATTGGTTACTTTTTTACACAGGATTAGGGTCAGATTTGGCTCTGGTTTCAGGGCCAAAGTGTGTTTCTTTCTCTGGTCCTTTTTAGCCTTTTGTCTCCAATTTTAGGGCCAGGGCCAGGGTACATTTCTTTCACTGACTCTGATTCCAGGGACAAAGTGTGTTCCTTTGGCACTGGTTTTAGGGTCAGGGTACATTTCTTTGGTTGTGGTTGCAGGGCCAAAGTGTGTTTCTTTGGCTCTGCTCAGGGTGTGTTTCTTTGACTGGTCCCTTTTCCCTACAGTAGCTCATCTAGGTAGCCAATTTATTCTGGATTCTCTGTCTCTGCCTTCTGAGTGCTGGGATTAGAGGCAGCTGCCACCCCTGCCCACCATTTTTGTGGGTCTGGGGGATCTAAACTCTGGTCCTCCTTCTTATACTATAAGCACTTTATTCACTGAGCCATACCCATAATCCACAAATCCCTTTTAAAATCAGAGACTTTTTAAAAGCACTGTTTTTCTTACTCATTTTAAATGAATGCTAAGTGGAATTTCATATCCATTATACCGAATTTCTGTACTCATTCTGGGTTCCCGTGTGTTCTTGACTCTAAGTTATACATTATTTTCTCTGGAGTACTGACCCTCCCATTTGTTAAATTGTATGGTAAAATGTAACTTTTTCTGAGTATTTAATACCATACCCTCTCCCTATCCTTCTCCTTCCCTCCGACTCCCATTTCCCTAATCACGCTTTTTAAAATGTTCTGCATTCAAAGTGCTAATGTACTGTCTAGTGTGTTCCTAAGACAAGAAGTTATTACATACCTTCAGAAGAAAATGTACATTAAATGTGCTCCACTCACAAATAAGGTGTAGTGTTGTTTGCTTCAAGTTAATTATTAACATGCATGAATATATATTAAATAAAATGCCCTTAAAAAGAAACATATGTAGTAAAATTGTATATTGGTCAGGTGACTAAAATGTTGTGAGAAGAGTCTCTAAAAACTTAAGGGTAGTCATGTAAAAGTAGTAGAATTTACTAATTATTACCTTAAATTCTTATGCCTCAGACAGTCAGCGACTACAGCTGGATCTACAGAAAATGGAACTTCTGGAAAGTAAGATGACAGAGGAACAGCAGTCTCTGAAAAACAAAATTAAGCAAATGACTGCTGACCTGGAGACATACAATGACCTGGCAACTTTAAAATCGTCTGCTGAAGAAAAGAAGAAGGTGAATGCCCAACACAATCTTTGAAAATCATCACCTAGTTTTCCCTCCCTCCCTCCCTCCCTCCCTCCCTCCCTCCCTCCCTCCCTCCCTCCCTCCCTTTCTCCCTTCCTCCCTCTTTCTTCTTCCTTTCTCTCTTTCTCTTTCTTCCTTTGTCTCTCTTTCTGTCTTTCTTTATCTCCCCTCATTTCTCTCATATCTCAGATTGGCTTCAAACTTGCTCTGTAGCAAGGGTGGCCTTGAACTTCTGTTCCTTCCACCCCATCTCGGATCCCCCAATTATAAGATTTTGCTGCTATGCACATTTTACTTGGTGTAAAAACCAGGGCCTCACATGCTAGGCAAGCACTCCACCAAGTGGCCTTCATTCCCAGCCCCCAGTTGTTTTTCCTTGATTGACTTTATTTCATATGTACTTTATAGACTTACTACTTTTAGTATATTATTTAAAGTACAGCCTAAGGAGAAGTAATAAAATTTGTTACGTGTGTATTTGTTATCTAAATAGACTTAGGGATTTTAAAAGAAGGTAAAAATTTAAAAACAAAGTATAAGCTTGTTTTTAAGTGCAGATTTGGATTATAGGTCTTCATTTCAGTGTCTCTCCATTGCTGTTTGCTTTATTTTAAAGTTAAACTTTTGGGGCCAGGATATATATGGAAGCATTTGTTGAGTTATTAATGCTGTTATTATTCACATAGCTTATTATTCAAAAGCTATTTTTGTAAATAAGTCTTAAAGTAATTTTAACTTTGGTAGAATTTTAGAGAATAAAACTATTAAAATTTCTAAGGCAAATGCGATTTCTATATTGGCTTTCTAGACATTTGCTATTAACTTCTATGTATTACTATTTGAATCTATCTAGAAACTGCATCAAGAAAGAACAGTGTTATCAACCTACAGAAATGCCTTTAAGAAGACAATGGAGAAGCTGACAGCAGATTATGAGACACTGAAAACACAGCTGCAAGAGAATGAGACACATGCTCAGGTAAGAGCGCGCCCAGCTCACTCTGAAACCCGCTCCCTTTCATGGAGTCTAGCTTGTGCTTCGTCTGGGCTTTTTACTCCAAACTGTTTTGCGCCTGCTCTTGTTTCATTTTGGCTTTAGACCTGCCTTATAAGCCTTCCAGTTTTTGTTTTTGTTTTGGATTTGAAACAGTGAGATTCTGTACTGTTCTCTCTTTAGTACATTTAGAATTAGTTTTTGCCTTATTCCTTCACTAAGCCCTTATGAAAGGCCAGTTTTACAAAATGTCTCTCCTGGGCATGGCCACTATGATACTTTAGGGGATTGCTTTAAAATTTATCAAAAGTAAACAGAAAATTCTAACTTTTGTTGAAACTTCACAAATACTACAAATAACATAAATTCCAATGACAGATTTTCTTGTCATTTTGAAATGAGTAAAACATACGCACTTTTATGTGTACACACATATGTGTATATATACAAATTTCCTGTGTGTTTAGCTTGGGACTTTTTGTTATTGTTTCTCATTTAGCTTTGTTCTTTGGTACTTCCATGCATGTCTATCTGGGACTTTCACAAACCCACTCTTCTTCCTCTTTCCCCACTGAAACTCCTCTCCCTAAGAATCCCTGTCCTACTTTGGTATATTTTTATACACACTGACATGAAGATTGCTTGTGTAACGGTGTTGGGGATGTTATTTACTACAGCATGGGCAACTTTTATTGAAAATAAATTTTTTCATACAATAAATTCTGATTATGACTCCCCCCATCTCTTCCCAGATCCTTCCTATTTCCCTATCCACCCAACTTTATTTCTTTCTCTCTTCCTCTTTAGGAAACAAACTGGCAAGTAAAACAAACAAACAGGAAAAAACAAAGAAAAAGCATGCAAAACACATACTTATGCACATATACACACACAAAACCCATAAAATTACAAAAATTGGAAACCATTATATATAAGCAAAAGATCAATAAGACAAAAATATCCAAACAAAGCATTATGAGATTAAAAACTGTCCGAAAATAATTGCATTTGTTTGGTTTGGTCACCTACTTCAGGCCTGCCATTAAGTGTGGTTTGTATACCAAGCAAGACTTCATTGGAAAAAACCTAATTTTCCCTTGGCAAGTGGCTGACACTTGGAAATAAATAGCTTCTAGGTCAGGAGTGGGGGCTCATGTCTACTTTCCCTCTCAGTTTGAGGCTCTATCTGTGTTGGACCTGTAGGGGCCTTGTACGTGCTGTCACAGTGTCAGTGAGTTCATGTTAAACATCAGTCCTGCTGCATCTGGACTGTATTGTTGCCTTGGTGTCTTTCATCCCACTGCCTCTTAAAATCTTTGCACCTCTTCTTTCTCATAACTCCCTGAGGGATGGGCATCTTATTAGTGGCCCCACCACTGGAAAATGACAGTCCTTCCTGCAGCATCCACTAACTGTGCCCTTGTTTCCTCAGTTGAGGTAGGGCCTGGTGAAGTTGTTGTTGGGACCAGTCTTGTGCACACAGCTGTAGTGAGTCCATGAACTGATTTCTGTGTCATTTCCAGAAAACATTGGTTTTCAGTACTCATCCACAACCTCTGCATTTACATTCTTTTCACTCTTTCCACAATATTCCCTGAGCCTTGAGGAGATGGATTGAGGCTTGTGATATAGATGTCCTGTTAGGGCTGAGCATGCTCCAGTCACTTACTTTTTTCACTCTGTCCATTTGTAAGTCCTTGCTTTCATTAACTGCAGCCCCACTGCAAAAAGAGGCCTGATGAAGGCTGAAAAGAGCACTAAACTCAGTGTGCAACTGGCATCTGTCTGTCTGCCTGTCTGTCTGCTCTGCTTTGTGTATGCATGTGTGTGTGCATGGCACTGTGTGTGTGTTTGGAGATTCCATGTAATATACTACTACATTATGTAATTTATAGAACCAAACTATTATTGGATATTTGGGTAATTTCTAGTCTTACACTGTTCTAAAAATACTATCAAGAGCAGTCCTATTCTTGAAGCTCTGGATTCATATCCCTATAGACACATAGCTACACTTTTCATATCACTTATTCTCATGGTACATATCTGAACAGGGTTTGATAGCTTATGGACTCACTGAGGGTACATTATCCATCCAGTTTACTTTGTCTCTAGTACCATGTTACTAGTTTGCCTGTGGTCAGCATCTAGTAAGTATTTTCTACTTACCAAATGAAACATGTAATGTATTCAAATTGCGTAGTTACAGTCAGGAAAGGATTGGTATGGTTATGTGTTGCATAATATTTGTTTAACTATGCAAAGTTGTGTTGTGGAATATTTCTTTAGCTGTGTAAAGATGTGTTGCATTTGTTTATGTTGCAGAATAATTGTTCACCTATGTAAAAATGTGTTGCATTTGTTTAGTTGTGTAAAGATGCATTGCTGTTTTACCTTGCCTGCCTAAGTCACCTGATTGGTCTAATAGAAAAACTGAATGACTCATAGCAAGGGAGGACATATAGGTGGGACTTTGGGGTAGGGAGGACGGAGGAGGAGGAATTTAGGTTGGGGCAGGAGAGAAGGAGAAGAAACGCCAAGGGCCAGCCAGACAGACACAGAGGATGCAGGAAAGCAGGACATACAGAATGGAAGAAAGGTAAAATGCCCTGAGGCAAAATGTAGATGAATAGAAACAGGTTAAGCTAAGAGAGCTAGTGGGAGATGCCTAAGCTAAGGTCTAGCATTCATAATTAATTATAAGGCTCCATGTTTTGTGTTTTTTTTTGGGAGAGGAGAAGCTGGTTGTCAGCCCAAAGAAAATTTCAACAACAGTCGTGTCTAATCAGGCTGTGACTTAAAATTCTAAATGCTTGAAATTTTCTGATTTATTCAGTAGTATGATCAAGGTACAAAAAACAAAGCCAGGTCATCTTATTCCCTCTTACCAGAAATGGGCATTTGTACTACATTGGTATTTGTAGGTGGAGACATCTTCCCTTTGCATCCATCCATCACATCATAGTCTTACAAAAACAGTCTGCAAACATGTTCTAAAATGTTTTTCTCAGATACTGGAGTATATGGACGTGCTATTTAAAATGACATTTTACATTTCTACTGGAAGAAATAGAATCTTATAAGAGTTTGCAGTAGCTATTAAAGTTTGGAAAGCACTAATATATGTATCTGGTTTCCCTGTCAGTCTGTCTCTACTTCACAATATAAAAGCCTAAATATGGTTTTGTAATTGACAATGTAAAACTTTGCTGAGTGGGGGGATGAGTCCTGGAGGAAAACATAAGAAAAGTTTTATGAGCACATTATGTTGTCTGAAACGGTTTGTAGGGAAAAAGACTGCTTTTTTTTTAAAAAACTGTTCCTCTACATAGATGATGTAAGGCACTGGGCAGATATCATTGGTTAGTTGCTTTTTTCCCAAATCATAATGTCAGCCACAATTTTAAATATATCTCTGTATTTTTGTATTTTGTTAATCTTGACTAATCAAATCAAATCCTTGTCTCTAAATATAAATAATTTCATATATATTATTTGAATAAGCTATAGAGAGAAAACAAGATTTTCAAAATTGGCATTTACCTTAATGGTATCAAGGCAAGTCAGTAATGTGGATGTAAAAGGAATTTGATATGGTGTGGTTCTTATTTGTATAGCACTTAAAAGGCTTGTTGCCATATGAGAACAAAAAAGAACATGTCTGGTACTTGACTTTGCAAAAGGTTATTAAAGATTTATTGCCAAAAATGTGCTGACTGCTTCCCCAAGGGCCATCCTAACTTCCAGGTCTCATTTATGGCAGATATATCTGATTTAACAAGTCCTAGTTCAAGGACCATGTATTTTATTCAGTTAACCATGATTTCATCCTGATATCCAAATTTATCTCTCTGGAGGAAACAATAGGATAGATATGTGCACCCTGAAAATAATTCTTACATGTATTCTTTTAAATGTCCATTTCTTCTCTGCAATGCCCAGGGAGGATGCTATTTTAATGTTTCATTTTTCAGACAGTCCTATGCTCAAGGAAAACTATGTGTATCCTAAAAAAGAAAAACCATAACCCAGAGTTACAAGGTTAATTAAATCAGAAAAACAATTTAATTCTATAACAGTGAAATTGTCTTCTGAGGAAGCAACCATCAATATAATATCCACATTCGTTTCCTGTTGATGCTGAAATTATTGTAGCAGTGCCAGCTTTTCACAGACTCTCTTACAATCTTCACGCTGCAGCTCTGCTCTTATCATAGCCTGTGAAACGAGACAGGAAACTTAACTCTGGAAATAAGGAAGTTTTTCCTATAAGGCTGAACCTTTGACAGGATTAGAATATATATTACCTTTGTGGCATTAGCCTTCTGTAATTCAAGAAGAGATTCCCATCATGTCACATTTTTCTTTTTTAAGTTATTTTACAAAAAGTAATAAATTGACTTGCAGTGTTTATTGGCATAATAAACATTTTTACTATTTTTAATTAAATGAAGTAAAACTTTTTATATAATTTAGCATTGTCCTAAATATAGGTATTGTATGATCTAATCTAACCTAAGTTTCTTCTCTGGCAACTCACACTTTATTTACTAAAATTCAAAGAATTGGTATGATTTAAAATTGTGTATTATTTTTCATAACCTCTAAAAGGGATGTGTAATGGTTTTGAATATGAGAATCAGCTAACATTCACCTTTTGTGTTTTAGCTTACAAATTTGGAGAGGAAGTGGCAGCACCTTGAGCAAAATAATTTTGTGATGAAAGAGTGTATCCTTTAAACTGGCTTAATATGTCTTGCAAATACTTGGTATGTATAAAACTCTGAACTAATTATCTTGGGGTCATGAAGACTAGCATCACTTTCTGCTCTACAGTAGTAGGAGAGTGTTTACTCAGATTATCTATGAAAAAACTGATTTTGGGAGTTAACCCAAAGAGGAGTATGGCATCATCACACAGGATAGTGGTTAAGGGCAAACATTATAGTCAGATGATTAAATTTTGAATGTTGATTCTGTCATTGGTAAGCTACAGTCTTTAGACAGGTCCCTTGATCTGTTTAAGCCTCAATTTTAGCATCTCTAAAACAGTTTGTACTCATAGAGTATAGATGTAGTTATAGGTGTTAGTTGTTATTATTGCTAAAACTTGGCTGTCCGGACAGCAAAGGGTGGTGACCAGTCAGGATCATAAGAAATCTGACGTCTGAGTTTATTTGTGTTATTCTCAATTCAACTACATCTTATTTCTTCCAGATGATACTTACATCTTATCTTTCATGTTGTTCCGTCTAAGAGGCAGCATTTTCTGAGGGCATGCATTGTGAAGTCACAACAAATGTCTCTCCAGAATTTGTTTCCTATTCCCTTTGACTTATTCCAGGATATCTGTTCTTAATGATACCATAGGTACTCTTTTAGGGTGTTACCAAACTTTACCTCAGGGGCAGCAAGCACCTTAGCTTACTTCTAATTACAATGCTATAGAAACTCTATTCATACTATTTCAAGAAATTCAGCTTAAAAGGCAGACTTTGGTCTTCTTGGGATTTTTAAAAGTCCAGTATTCCAGCTTTATGCAACATAAATCCACATGACTCTGAAACAGTAGACTTGGTTGAAACTCTCTGTGACATTACAGAGTATAGAGTTTTCCCAAATGCTCAATTGTTCTGAAAGTAGAACTAGATTGGGCAACCTGACATTAAAAAAATCAAAAGTGTTTATACTGTGAATTTTTTGAAATAAATTTTATTTGGCCTTCCGGTTTCAACTTCTGCTTTGTTAAAATAAGATTCTATCTTAAATTATTGTAGCTGTACTTTTTCTGTACTGTCTACATTCTCTGTGACAAATACGCGTCTGCTTCGGTTCCTTTCTGAGTCAGAGACTACTGTTTTTACTGACAATTGTTCCTCCTTAACTATGTAATTAGTCATAGCAACCAAGAGTCAAGAGAGTGATTACCAGCCGGTTATTAAAAATGTGATGAAGCAGATTGCAGAATACAATAAAACCATCATGGATGCTCTACACAATGCCAACAGAAGCTGAGACTGATTGCCTGCATCTAGAAGCATCCCCAAGTGTGCTAAAAGTAAAATGGCTTCCCCTTGAAGAGTTATATCTCAGGTTTTTGAATGTCATGGTTTGATTTTCTTGAAGGAGAGACATCTTGCATAGTAAATAGTTCAATAAAAGGTTTGCTGTTCCAAGTCTTCCTCTGTCCAGCTAGCCAGCTCCCAGATCATGACACAGAGACTTACTAATTGTGAAAGCCTGACGATAGCTTAGGCTTGTTTCTGGCTAGCTCTTATGACTTAAGTTAACCCTTTTCTTCTAATCTGCATTCTATGTGCTCGGCTACCTTTACTTTGTAATGCTGGTGCTGCTTGCTATGTGTCCTGTGTCTGCTCCCTTCTTTTTCCCAGTGTCCTCTGTGCCTGGAAATCCTGCCTAGCTATTGACTGTTCAGCTTTTTTTGTTGTTCAGTTTGTTATTTTTTTCTATATGAAATGCCTTTATATTTGCATGGAACCTATGTACATCATTCTATACACATTTAATAATTTCTACATTGCCTGTAATACCTAATACAATGACAGCAGTGTTCATACTGTATTGACTAGGCAATGACAAGAAGACTATCTGTACATTTTTCAGCAAAGAAACAGTTTTCCCCCAAATATTTTTAACTTCTTTAGTGAATCTTTGGGGTCTCACATCATGTACCCCATTTCTTTTTATATCCTGGTCACCCCGTATTTCTCTTCACCCCTGTTGAGACCTTCCCAACAAAAGAAAAAAAACAAAACAAAATAAGCAAGCAAGCGAGCAAGCAAGCAAACAAAAGCAAGAACAGCAACAACAAACAGACCAAAATCCACACCGGGAAAAGAGAAATCTCTGCTTTTCCCTCTCTCCTGCATCTCTATCACCTCTTCATCTCTCCTGATAGCATTGGAGGCTTCATTGATTCAGTTAGTATACCTTTGTCCCATCAGCTTGACTGGCAAATGTTCACTGCAATGAGTCTCGGGTCTGGTTTAAAGCCTCTGGTTTTTGGTACACCATCCTCACTGGATCCTCATCACCTCTTCTGGGGTGTCCTGTGGCTGTCCTGAGCCTTGAGAACTTGAGGGTTATCATTCCACAGGACCAATTCCTTCACCAACTGTAGGAGGACCTAGATGCTAGTTATGGGTCTGGGTGTTAGCCAGGCAGGTCAGATCAAGCCACTGGGGCCACCTGCCCTGGTTGGAGGGGCAGAGTCAGTTCCCCTACATGCATGCCCTTAGGGTAGGTTCATCCTCTCCTGTGGTGAGCGGTGGGGGCCCTCTCTCCCCAGTGCAGAGGCCAGCTATAGGGACCAGTAAGAGGCAAGGCCAGCTTTTCCAAGGCAGTGAAGGGTAGGACTGCCTCAGTATAACCCTCCGATTTCATCTCACATGATTCCTAAGACCTCCTGAGGTGACACTAGCCACAGACATCAACACAGACCTCAGCAGTAGCTAGATCATGGACCCAGACATGGCCCTTGGTAGCAGCTTAGGCCTGGACAACATCCTGTGTCTGGGTGAAAGGAATGGCCACTCAGGTGGGATGGTTCTGGCATCGGTGTGACCACCAAACACCACCAAGACCTCAGATTGTGGCCCCAAGCCTGGGCCTCTATGTGAATACTGATGGCAGAGCAGAACCCAGACTTCAGCTCATGGTAGGACCATGGTAGGATCATGGACCCCAACATAGTCCTTGGCAGCAGCTGGGCCTGGATGTCACCACAGCCCCCAGCAACAGTATGTCTCTGAGTCACTAACTTGGCCCCTGATCTTGAGTGTCCACATGGCCTTCGATGGTAACAGGAGCATCAGACATCAGCATGGACCCTGGCTGCAGTGGGACCACAGACCCTGATATGATCCTCAGCTGCAGCTCAGATGCTGCCATGTCATTGAGTAGCAGCACAGGCCACTTGGATATGGATGCATCCTGGTCCTTAGACAGTAACTTGGACTCAGGTGACTGGTTTGACCCTGGGCTTCTTGATAGCACTCAGTGGCAGCTTGAGCCATGTATGTCAATCAGGACCCTGGCTGTTACAGGGCCGCAGACCCAGACATGACCCTCGGTGGCAGCCTAGGCCCAGATGAATATTGAACACATGAATATTGGTGGCTCCTCCTCTGCTTCCTCCTTCTTCCATATCCTTTTTAATGTATGTTTTGGGGCTAGAAGATGGCTCAGGGGTTAAGAGCACTTGCTACTCCTGCAGAGGACCTAGGTTTAGTTTACTAGTGCCCTTATGGTGGCTTACAACCATCTGTAACCCGAGTTCCATGGGATCTGACACCCTCTTCTGATGTCTATGGACACCAGTCATGTGTGCAGTACTCATGCACACATGCAAAAAAAACAGTCATATGCATAAGAATAATACTTAATTAATTAAAAATAGCTTATGTGCACTGCTCAGCAAAAAGAAAAATTTTGCTAACACTCTTGAGACCAGAAGCTGACTTTCTTCTGCTAATTGTCCTTTGAAAATCTTTTTGTTTTTACCTTTGCCTAAAATTCTAATTATAATGAAAAATGCAAATAAATGATTAAGATATTAACTGGTCATCTGGTTAAAAGAGTGCTCAGTAGCAATGGGAACAGTTACAGGACTTTGCCCAGTTCTGGGAAGTGGTACACTGACACCCATGTTTCTTTGACTGTCTTCATGTGCACGAAGAGTTGTGATTGTGTGGTCTGTACCCTAGTAGAGCCCATTTGGAATAATAGTATATGATATTGTTTGGGTTTAGGGAAGGAATGTCTTTAAAATGGGTCCTGGAGACAGTATTTGGTGGAATTTAATTCACACTGTACAAGGTGGGCTGCATCCAGAATTCCTAGGAATAGGTTGGTGGGGAGTGCAGGAGAGGGGACATTCTGTAGAGATACTTAACGCTTCCCTTTGACAGTCATTGAAACAACAACTCCAGAGGATTAAAAACTTCCCAGAAATCTCATGCAGGGGGAGGAAAAAGGCTGCAACCTGGTATTTGCCAGAGAAAGATTTTAAACTGTTTAACAAACTGTTTAATGGACCACCTGGGAGAACAGCGCAGAACCCAGCTCAGTGATGGGTCAATGATGGGTAAGACCACCTTTTAATCAGACCAATTAATTATACACACCTCATTCCCTCTATTCAAACTTAAATGTCATGTTACTATCCAAAAACGGCTTTGCGAGTTTCTGGGACTCATTTTCTTGATTTTTCCAATGTGGCCACATCGAATAGACCTTCTTTTTCTACCTCTCACTATTAGTTCGCTCATATTTTTATTATGATATATTAATTATACATAAAAGGTTTCATTTTGGCATTTTTGTTCATGTACATAATGTATTTGAATCATATTCACCCCATCCAAGTTACCCTCTCTCATCCTACCACCAAAGGATTCGTGGTCAGAGAAGGTTGGGAACACTGAGTCAGAGGTAAATCGTTTTCTTCTTGACTACTAAGAGCCATAAATCTGATACAATAAAGATGTATACAAAAAGCATTTCTCAAGGCTGTTTGTCTCCAGAATTCTTGCTTTCACAGAGCCTCAGTTACATGGGATTTGTTGTTCAAGAAATACACCTCAGATTTTGTATACCAGTTTCTTCTCAAGTCCTTTGGGATGGGTTTTTGCTCTCTACTGCTGGCTTCCTAAGTGTCTGTTTCTTACCACTACAATATAGTGACTACACATTCCTTTTACCATGGTAGGGTGGAGTTTTCCACTGGAAATTGGTAGCAGATTTAATTCCACAAGAAAACACTTCTTGCAGAGTTAAAGAAATGAACTGTGAAATTGAGAAGTATCAAGTGGTGGGCTTTCATGGCATGTTGCCAGGCTACCTGCTCATTGGTAAGTGTTGGTTTACTTTGGCAATTAGAAGCTTTTCTGTGCATGGTGAGTGATGTGCAATGTTTCTTTCCTTTTTTCCACATTTTTAAATTTAAATTAGAAACAAGCTTGTTTTACATGTCAGTCCCAGTTCCCTCTCCCTCCTCTCCTCCCCTGCCCCCCACCAGCCCCCTATCTCTTCCCCTTTATGCTCCCAGGGAGGGTGAGACCTTCCATGGGGGATCTGTAAAGTCTGTCACATCATTTGGAGCAGGGTCTGGCCCTCCCCCATGTGTCTAGGCTGAGAAAGTATTCCTCTATGTGGAATGGGCTCCCAAAGTCCATTTGTACACTAGGGATAAATACTCATCCACTACTAGAGGCTCCATAGACTGCCCAGTCCTCCTAACTGAAACCCACATTCTCTGTGTTGGTCTTATGCTGGTTTCCCAGATGTCAGTCTGGGGTCCATGAGCTCTCCCTTGTTCAGGTCAGCTGTTTCTGTGGGTTTCTCCAGCCTGGCCTTGACCCCTTTGCTCATCACTCCTCCCTCACTGTAACTGGATTCCAGAGTTCAGCTCAGTTTAGCTGTGGGTGTCTGCTTCTACTTCCATCAGCTACTGGATGAAGGCTCTAGGATGGCATATAAGGAAGTCATCAATCTCATTATAGGGGAAGGGCATTTAAGGTAGCCTCCCCACTATTGCTTAGATTCTTATTTGGGGTCATCATTGTAGATCTCTGGACATTTCCCTAGTGCCAGGTTTCTCTTTAGACCTATAATGTTTGTTTCTATTGTGGCACCTCTTTTCTTGCTCTCCTGTATTTTCCCCCCGACTCAATCTTCCTGCTCCCTTGTGTCCTCTTCTCCCCTTCTCTTTCTCTTAATTCCCTTTCCCCTTCCCCTATGCTTCCAATATACTCAGAAGATCTTGTCCCTTTCCCCTTCTCCGGGGGACCATTTATATCTCTCTTAGTGTCTCCCTTGTTTTCTAGCTTCTCTGGTGGTGTGGATTGTGGCTGGTAATCCTTTGCTCTATGTCTAATATTCATATATGAGTGAGCACATACCATGTTTGTTCTTTTGTGACTGGGTTACGTCACTCAGGATGGTTTCTTCTAGTTCCATCCATTTGCCTCTTACTTTCAAGATTCCATTTTTCCACTGCGTAGTACTCCATCGTGTAAATGTACCATATTTTCTTTATCCATTCTTCAGTTGAGAAACATCTAGGTTGCTTTCAGGTTTTGGCTATTACAAATAATGCTGTTATGAACATAGTTGAACAGATGTCCTTGTAGTAAGAGTGTGCATCCTTTGGGTATATGCCTAAGAGTGGAATTGCTGAATCTTGAGGTAGACTGGTTCCCATTTTCCAGAGGAACCTGCTGTACTGATTTCCACAGTGGCTGTACCAGTTTGCACTCCTATCAACAGTGGAAGAGTGTTCACCTTTCTCCACATCCTCTCCAGCATAAACTGTCTTTGGTGTTTTTTATTTTAGCCATTCTGACAGGAGCAAGATGGTATCTCAGAGTTGTTTTTATTTGCATTTCCCTGATGGCTAAGCATGTTGAACACTTTCTTAAGTGTGTTTCAACCATTTTAGATTCTTCTATTGAGAATTCTCTATTTAGTTCTGTGACCCATTTTTTAATTGGATTATATAGTGTTTTGGTGACAATCTTCTTGAGTTCTTTATATATTTTGGAGATCAACCCTCTGTTAGATGTGGGATTGGTGAATATCTTTTCCCATTTTGTGGGATGTCATTTTGTCTTGCTGAGAGTGTCCTTTACCTTACAGAAGCTTCTCAGTTTCGGAAGGTCCCATTTATTAATTGTCAATCTCAGTGTCTGTGCTACTGGTGTTAAGTTCAGGAAGCAGTGTCCTGTACCAATTCATTCAAGGGTACCTCCCACTTTCTCTTCTAACAGGTTATGTTAAGGTCTTTGATTCATTTGGACTTAAGTTTTATGCATGCAGATAGACATGGATCTATCTGTAGTCTTCTACATGCCAGCATCCAGTTATGCCAGCACCATTTACTGAAGATGCTTTCTTTTTTCCATTGTATAATTTTAGCTTCTTTGTCAAAAATCAGATGTTCATAGGTGTGTGGGGTTAATATCTGGATCTTCAATTCGATTCCATTGGTCTACCTGTCTATTTTTGTGCCAATACCAAGCTGTTTTCAGAACTATAGCTCTATAATGGAACTTGAAGTCAAGGATGATGATGCCTCCTGAAGTTCCTTTATTGTACAGGGTTGTTTTGGCTATCTTGGGTCTTTTGTTTTTTCCATATAAAGTTGATTATTGTTCTTTAAAGGTCTGTGAAGAATTGTGCCAGTATTTTGATGGGGATTGCATTGAATCTGTAGATTGCTTTTGTCAAGATTGCCATTTTTACTATATTGATCCTACCTATCCAAGAGCATGGGAGATCTTTCCATTTTCTGCTATCTTCTTTAATTTCTTTCTTTAAAGACTCAAAGTTCTTGCTATACAGGTCTTTCACTTGTTTGGTTAGTGTTACCCTAAGATATTTTATGTTGTTTGTAGTTATTTTAAAGGGCGATGCTTCACAGATTTCTTTCTCAGCCCATTTATCGTCTGCATATAGTAGGGCTACTGATTTTCTTGAGTTAATCTTGTATCCTGCCACTTTGCTGAAGGTGCTTATCAGCTGTAGGAGTCCCTGGTAGAGTTTTTTCGAGTCACTTATGTAAACAATCACATCATCTGCAAATAGTGAAAGTTTGACCCCTTTCTTTCCAATTTGTATCCCCTTGATCTCCTTTTGTTGTCTTATTGCTCTAGCTAGAACTTCAAGCACAATATTGAAGAGATATGGAGAGAGTGAACATCCTTGTCTTGTTCCTAATTTTAGAGGAATTGTGTTGAGTTTCTGTCCATTTAGTTTGATGTTGGCTGTTGGTTTGCTGTATATTGCCTTTATTATGTTTAGGTAAGTTCCTGTTATCCCTGATCTCCCCAAGACCTTTATCATGAAGGGGTGTTGGATTTTGTCAAAGGCTTTTTCAGTGAGATTATCATGTGGATTTTCCTTTTCATTTTGTTTATATGGTGAATTACATTGATGGACTTTTGTATGTTGAACCATCCCTGCATCCCTGGGATGAAGCCTACTTGATTATGGTGGATGGCTTTTCTGATGTCTTCTTGGATTTGAAGTATTTGCCAGTATTTTATTGAGTATTTTTGCATCAATGTTCATGAGGGATATTGGTCTCTAGTTCTCTTTGTTAGTTGTGTCTTTGTGTGGCTTGGGTAACAAGGTAATTGTAGCCTTGTAAGAAGACTTTAGCAATGAACCTTCTGTTTATATTGTGTGGAACACTTTGAGGAGTATTGGTATTAGCTCTTCTTTGAATTTCTGGTAGAATTCTGCACTGAAACCATCTGGCCCTGAGCTTTTTTTGGTTGGGAGACTTTTGATGACTGCTCCTATTTCATTAGGGGTTATAGGACTGTTTAAATTGCTTGTCTGTTCTTAATTTAATTTTGGTTGGTGATATCTATCCAGAAAATTGTACATTTCTTTTAAATTTTCAAATTTTGTGGAGTACAGGTTTTCAAAGTATGACCTGACGATTCTCTGTATTTCCTCACTGTCTGTTGTTATGTCCGCCTTTTCATTTTTGATTTTGTTAATGTGAATGTTTTCTCTCTGCCTTTTGGCTAGTTTCGAACAAGGTTTTTCTATCTTGTTGATTTTCTGGAAGAACCACCTCTTTATTACATTGATTCTTTCTATTGTTTTCTTTGTTCTACTTTATTGATTTCAGCCCTCAATTTGATTATTTCCTACTACTCCCGGTGAGTTTGCTCCTTTTTGCTCTAGAGCTTTCAGTTGTGCTGTTAATTCTCTAGTGTGACTATTCTCCAGTTTCTTTATGTGTGCACTTAGTGCTATGAACTTTCCTCTTAGCATTGCTTTCAAAGTGTCCCATAAGTTGTGTATGTTGTGTGTTCATTTTTATTAAATTCTAGGAAGTCTTTAATTTCTTTATTTCTTCCTTGACCCTGAATAATGCAATTGTCCATTGTTTACTTTCCATGAGTTTGTAGGATTTCTGCAATTTGTGTTGTTGAATTCTAGTTTTAAAGTGTAGTGGTCTGATAAGATACAGTTGATTTATTCAAATTTTTGTATCTATTGAGGTTTGCTATGTTGCTGAGTATATGGTTGATTTTAGAGAAGGTTCCATGTGGCACTGAGAAAAAGGTATATTCTTTTGTGTTTGGATGGAATGTTCTATAGATGTCTGTTAAACCTAATTGGGTCATAACTTCTGTTAGTTCTTTTGTTTCTTTGTTAAGTTTCTGTCTGGTGATCCTGTCTAGTGGTGAGAGGGGTGTTGAAGTCTCCCACTATAAGTGTGTGAGGTTTTATGTGTGATTTGAGTTTTAGTAATGTTTCTTTTATGAATGTGGGTGTCTTTGTATTTGGGGCATAGATGTTCAGAATAGAAACTTCATCCTGATGGACTTTTCCTGTGATGAATATGAAATGACCTTCATCTCTGTTCATTGATTTTAGTTTGAAGTCAAATTTGTTAGATAGGATTGCTACACCAGCTTTTTTCTTGGGTCCATTTGATTGGGAAATCATATCCCAGCCCTTTACTCTGAGGTAACGTCTG